GTTCAGTGTTTGTTCATGTTTTTGTTGCTGTTACGTGACGTAGCGGTGTCTAGCTAGGGGCGAGAGGTGGGCTGATGACGTCATAATTTCAGAAAATATACGGATTCGCTGTCCACACGAAAACGCAAGGGCGGCGTTTTCAGATTTATCCACTCTGGGACCCGGTTTCAAAAAATATCCCCACTCTCACTCTCCCAAAACGCCGGATCCGTCTGGACGATACAAAATTTATGCGTATAGAGCTAAACGCGTCTCCGTGTGGATGGGGCCTTAGTATAGCTACTCACTGACTCCCAGAGTGCATTGCGGCAGAATAAATGATGCAGTTGCTATGTTTTACAGTTGTTGATTTTATTTGCCAATTTTATTTGCTGTCTTGTGTCAGTAGTAGCACAACAAGCAAATAAAATGGTTATTGTTACAATTAATGAAAATAAATGCAATTGAATTGTTACCATTGTTGTGATTCACGTGCTGAGTGTTTAAGTCTGTGTGAGACTTTAGCTTGTTACCACACACTATTTAAGGATTATATAAACCCAATTAAAATCATCTCAAGGTATTTATGAAAAATGAAATTTGAAAAAGTTCACTAATAAACACAAACATAAAATTCACTAATGTTTTAATTAGAAGATAGGTCACCTTCTAAAAGCAAGCTATTTATTACCTTTTTCCCTTGAAATCAAATACCTCTGACTTTACAATGCATTGCTGCATTAACAGGAAGAAAATTATAGTAACGTAAACAAAGTTCCAAGTGCCCAACCAAAGGGAACGCTAATCACTATAATGGTGAGTTAAAAAAAAAAAAAACACACATTTGAGGAAAATCAACATCAATTTCTCACTCTCACTCACTCACTCCCTCTCACTCACTCACTCACTCACTCACTCGCACTCTCACTCACTCACTCGCTCTCACACTCACACTCACTCACACTCACTCACGCACTCGCACTCTCACTCTCACTCACTCACTCCCTCTCACTCACTCACTCACTCACTCACTCACACTCACTCACTCACTCACTC